AGATTCTTTAAACACAACGATTTTCATTCACAAGTTAGCCAAATATCTAGTAATAATTTTCACAATATACACTATGATTCAAACGCGCAAACGTCAATTAGAAAGATAAGGCTCTTATTTAAGCACCGAAACAGCAGAACTAAGACCAACAATTCTTGTCAGAAGACATCAAGTCAGAAACAATCCTTTTTTAAATACAGGCATGTATAAATTTAACAACAAATTTGAAGACTGGGCTTACGAAAGTCGACTTTTCTTTAATGAAGCATAGCTCAAATAATGCGTATTTTTTTCTGTACTTGGGTGAACTTACTATTTATATCTCAATATATATAGTTTATTTAATTTTATGGAAAAACGATAATTATTTACAATTAGGATATGACATAATTTATTATCTAGATGCAAATAACTCTTGACTTAAAGTTAAATTCTATTTTCAGGCTTTTAATTCGGCACTTTTCGCTACTAGTAGGCTATAAATAAAACCTACTAGTAGCTCATCCAATTAGAATTCCGCATTGATGATAGACTGCTTGTTGGATTTGACTAATGTAACTGGGCTCCCGGGAGTTATAGAAGTAATGGGGAAGGGGGGTTTGGGCCCTCGCATATCCCAAGGGAAGGGTGCAGCGTGTGTAGGGGCAATTGGGGATATTGTCTGTCAAAGCGGCGGTAAAAACCACGGTTGGCTTACGCGTACTGTACTGGAAATTGAAAACCGTTACGTTGCAAGTTTGTGGAAACCTGCAATATTCTAAGACAAGGTGGAATAAATGAAATAAAGGTTACACTATTAAAAGTTATTGTACTACATAGTATACGAAAATAAAAATAAAACACAAACGACACCAGCATCAACAGTGTGGTCGCAGCCACCAACATGTCCCCATCTATTGTGAGAACAGCTTCCAAGTGACGACTCTGAACCTGAACATCCCATGTTTTTTAGCCATACTTTACCCGTACCTCGTCCTTGATGCGAAAATCCCACAGTTTTTGTAAAACCTAGTTGCCGACATGCAACCTTGGCATCTTCCATGTACCAGCCACTATTACACACTGTTCTCCATTGACCCTGATGATACACCTCCACAAGCCCCTTACGCGAATCACCACATTCACGAGGGTACTTGAATTGAAACGGCTATAACTCCCGTTTCAGATTTAAGCAAAACAATCGTTCGCACAATTACTACACAAAAACCAAACTTTAGATTGATACTAATTTTGTTGAAATCGGAGTCTTCCTTGCATCGGAAATGTGATGTCCTTGATTTTACTCTGAATTACTCCAGTTATCTCGATATCCTGACCTAATATTTGAAAACGATTTATTAAATCGTTCACCAAATGTTTGCTTATAATATGGGGAAGTTTAAAGAAATTCTAAGAGCCCGTTTTTTGAGTAAAAAAGGAAAAGTATTTTACTCAGAATTTGAAGAAGCCGTTGCTGAAATTTGCAACACATCTTTCCTCCAAGTAGGTAAAATTTATAGTGTTTGAGGTTAGTTACTTAATAGGTTAAAATAGGTCTGCTAGTTTTACGTTGTTTGCTTACATGAACCAAAGAACAACAGCATCTCTTGTGTGAACATTGCAGAAAGATGCAACGCTTCCCCATCCATTGTGAGTACAACTTCAAAGTGAGGGCTCTGAACCTAAACATCCCATGCTGCTTAGCCATACTTTACCCGTACCTTTTCCATCCCACGAAAATCCCACTCTGAACTTGGGCTGATTCCTTGTTGTTCAGCCATATCTTACCCTTCCCTCTTCCACGGTTTGAAGCTCCTACTGTTTTGATAAAACCAAGTTGACGAAATTAACCTGTAAGTTGACCACATGCTTATGGCATACCCCAACCACTTTCACACACTGTACCCAAAGATTGACTTTTATTTAAAACGTTTATTGCACTGGTACATTCATTCTACGATAAAAAACATATTAAGAACTCAGCATCAATCGTGTGACCGTTGCAGTTAGGGTTAACGCTACCCCATCCATTGTGAGTACAGCTTCCAAGTGAGGATTCTAAGCCATACTTTACCCGTTCAGCCATACTTTACCCGTACCTCGCCCCAACCACGAAAATCCTACAGTTTTTGTAAAGCCTAGATTGCGACACGCTACCTTTGCTTCTTCCATATACCAGCCATAAAGACAAACTGTTCCCCATTGGCCACGAAATCTTTGTGAAAATAAGTGGGAGGAAATTCCGTCTTCTCAATATACTTTCAAAAGAATTATACAAGTCTACCACATTGGTCAATGGGGAACAGTATGTTCTGATATCTTTGACACGAGAGACGCCAATGTAGCTTGCCGCCAACTCGGTTTTAACAGCGCTGTGGGAAATTGGCGGAAAGGACGAGGGACGGGAAAAGTATGGCTGGACAACATGGACTGTACTGGTTCAGAGTCATCCCTTGGAAGCTGCTCTCATCCAGGATGGGGTACCGTTGACTCTAGGTGCAACACTCACAACTACGATGTTGGTGCTAGTGCTTTATTTTATCAATATTATAAGTTCTTTGAATATTCGTTACCAGATTGCGTTGAGAGATGGCACTTCTTGTATTCAGAAAAGCCACCTGATTCTGGTGGAAGATTATATTCTTTATCTCAAAAGCAGACTAAGATAACTGAACGGATTTTACTGGAGAAGGACATAATACAAGAAAAGAAGTTATAAAAAACGAAAGCCGAAGTAAGAAAGACGGCGATGTTAACATGCAAATATGGCACCATTCATGTCCCAGCTACTATACCATACGGTTTGCCATTGACCCTGGTGAAATACTAAACGTTGTGATGAACAAAAAACCGTCGTTAACGTGATCTCCCATGAAGCAATACTTTCTCATTCATGTGAGAGCAACCTATAAGTGATATTTCGGAGCCGTTTCATTGCATGTTGTACAGCCATAACTTACCCGTCCTCGTCGTTCATACACCGAAGGTCCTAAAGATTTCACAAAACCAAGTTGGTGTCACGCAATTTTAGCATCTCTCATTTTCCAGCCATCGTGACATGTTGTACCGCAATGATCCTTGTGAGACACCTGCATGATATTTAGCAGAATTCATTATTAAATATCGAGAAGCATAACATAGCGATAGAACACCAGCGTAGTATTGGTGAGTATTGCAGCTAGAGCCAACGTTTCCCCATCCATTGTGGGTACATCTTCCAAGTGAGGCCTCTGAGCCTCTACAACGCATCACGTACAGCCATACCTAACCAGTTCCCCTTCCTTCGTACGAAGCTCCTACAGCTTCTGGCATCTGTCATATCCCAGTAAGTATGACACACTATAACAGACGGAGTAACGTACTGATATAGTGTTTCTCCGTCTGTTATAGTGTGTCATACTAACTGGGATATGCCAGATGCAAAGGTCGCATGTCGCCAACTGGGTTTCACCAAAGGTGTGAAAATTTTGTACGATGGACAAGGGCAGGGTAAGATATGGCTGTACAGCATGGGGTGTTCAGGCGCAGAGGCTTCACTTTGAAGCTGTACTTACAATGGATGGGAAAACGTAGGTAGCTGCGATTACGACGATGATGCTGGTGTTGTGTGCATTTGTTTGATTTTAGAACGTTACGCATCGGAACATTTCTTGGTGATCATTATTAACTTAGTATTGAATAAGAAATATAAACATTGTTTTTTTATTTGAATAAATTCAAGCATAACTACTTAGGTTAAAAGGATATTATTTGACAATTTGTAATCGTAATTTTGTCAAACACTGATGTAATAATTAAAAACAAGGGTTCATTTGGAAAATTTATTTTAAACGTAGGCAACTTTTGAAGATATTTAATTAATGTTTTAGTATAATGTGTTTTCAGTCAAAGGTCAAAGATATCTAAAGACTACAATATTCAGTTTGATTATTATTTGGATTTTAATCGATTCAATATCATTGAATTAATAGAATAAAGAATAAATTCAATTTTGTAACTAGACATAGTAAACCAGCCTAATGCGCAAAACGCCAACCTCATATTTGTAAGCATACGTATGATAACCAAAAGTAAGAAAACCCCATCCAAAAATTCAGAAGTGAGTATTCTGAGCCACTGCAAAACGTAATCGAAAGCATATTTTACCCATCTGTCCTCATATTTTACTTTTCTGACGTAGGGCGGCTAATTAGCTTTGAAAAAGTTAATCGATTAACTATGTTTTGAGTCTTCTTTGAAGTAACAGTCGAATTCAACCTTGACTTCATAGCTAATTAGCCGCCCTGCTTCAGAAATGCACGGGACTTCATATGTAAAGTCAAACCGCCAACAATGTAAACCACAGTTGTAGTTTGTTGCCGAGGTAATTGCCCTATTTCACTTTGACGTCACATCAAAACAATCTTCAACAGCCTATCGTCTAAACGCAAAGGATCATGGTCGTCGGACGGGGTCAAATCAACGCAAATTCACCGAAAATTGTTCTAAAATCCGGATCGATCCACGAACAGAAGTAGAATAGCCAGCAAACGCTCAGAATATTTTTTATTACATATTAACACATATTGGAATCTGAAAACCAGGCCATTTTAGACTAAACTGTTTAGCATGGAGCAAATTTTGTTGAATTTTCTATTGCAGTGACGTCATAGTGAAATACGGAAATTTAACTCAGTAATATCATCAACTATCTTTAAAAGAAAGGACGCTTCAGTTTTAGGCCACTTAAAATTTCATATACTTATTGGATATGTTTCGACCATTTCACTTGTGTCATTGAAAACGTAACTATATTTTATGAAACAATGAAAAATGTTCAATAAAAAGACCATCTGTAATGACTTCTTAGCCAATGGGGCTCGCTAACATGGGGGGGGGGGGNNNNGGATCCGTCTTCTCGACATACTTTTAAAAAAATGGAATGAAGCCTTTTTTAATTACTTTGCACATTGTCTACCACATTGGTCAATGGGGAACAGTATGTCATGATTGGTTTGACATGAGGGACGCCAAGGTAGCTTGCCGTCAACTTGGTTTTAACAGCGCTGTTGAACATTGGCGATACGGACGAGGGACGGGAAAAGTATGGCTGGACGACATGAAATGTACTGGTTCGGAGTCATCACTTGGAAGCTGCCCTCATCCAGGATGGGGTACCGTTGACTCTGCGTGCAAAACTCACAACTATGATGTTAGTGCGGTATTTTGTTCTATTTGTTGTGAGTATTTTGAGCATCGGTTCCCAAAAAAGTAACAGAAAAGTAAAACTTTAATACTTGCTGGGAATAGATAAATTGTGAAGGTCTTTTTTTCGATAAAATTTACAGTTTTTTATTCTCTTATTAAGATGCCGTCAACATTATTCAATAGGGAACAGAACGCCATTACGACTTTGACATTAGGAATGCCAAGGTTAAATGTCGACAACTCGGTTATGCCAAAGCTGTAGGATATTGGTGGTTTGGACAAGGGACGGGGAAATTATATATCTTATATATATTTAGGTTTACAAGGACAGAATACAAAAATGAAAACACAAAGAATATAACAGTTAAAGAATACTACGACTACCTAACGATAACACTTGAACAGCATTGTAAGTTCAGTTTCAGTCAGCTCAGCAGAAGTATACTTTCCTCGAGTTTATAGTGCATGAAGCTTTTAACTAAAGATTTTATCCATCCATAGGATCCAAACGAAAAAAATATATAAATAAATACAGAATAAATGTTTTAAAAGAACTCCATTCCCCCCCAGTCGATCCACACAACATACAAAACATTAATAATTTTAAGTATAAAAAAGTCACACAAACATTTTCAAATTTGTCTCTAACTTTTTTTAATTATATTTTTGAGGCTCAAAAAATAAGTTCATGCTAAATTGTATTGCAGTTTTTCAGGGAAAAGAAAAAAAGTAGAGATGTTGTGACAGTGGAGAATGGGGAAGAGTGTCTGATGATGACTTTGACATGAGGGATTCTATAGTCGCTTGTAGACAACTTGGATTCACCAAAGCTGTGGGATATTGGCACTATGGACGAGGGTCTGGGAAACTATGGCTAATTAACATGGCATGTTCCGGAACAGAGAATTCCCTTGGGAGTTGTTCTAGCAAAGGATATGGAAACGGGGATTGGTACAGCGGTCACAATGAAGATTCTGGTGTTTTGTGTTCTGACATTTAAAAAACCTCCTTTATGATATCATTATTCTCATCAGTTCCGATATTTGGCTTGATTTCTTGAATAATTTATTTGTTTGATACAAAAATTGTATACGGAATATATTAGCCAATTAAATCACTGTTAGAACATTACTAGCGCTTACATCTCGTATTCAAATTATGTGATAATTTCTGGCTGTTAGAGCATCTGAGCGACAAAACATACCCATATCAGACTGAAGAGGTCCTAGGTTGTGATTCAAATAGTCGCTCTTATTCGACCAAAGTACAATGAACTATGTTATTGATGTTTCGAAGTCGATTAATAGAGTCCCAGACCGAACGTGATATTTAAAATGTTTGCCCTCGGATGTAGAAAAAATCTGAAGGGTCCAGGCTTGGGTAGCTCATAATAGTGAAACTTTAAATAAACACTCTCTTTTACCAGTATATCTATATAAAATATGAAACGAAAATGTTTGGTTACATATTTTTAACCTAGAGATTTGCTCACGCTCATTTCTTGTTTTGAAATATTAAGATATCGGTGACATTATCCAAGTCACATTTGAGAATGGGGTACAGTTTGTGATGATCGTTTTTAACATGAGGGATGCCAGGGAAGCATGTGTGGCGTAACGTTGAGAGCCCTTGTCTCTCACCAATGCCACCCGGGTTCGATCCTTGGAATCGTCGTACGTGAGTAGAGCTTATTGGTTCTCCCTTGTACTTTGAAACTTCGAGGGTTTCCTCCGTGTTCTCCGGTTTTCCTCCCTCCTCAAAAATCCTTATTCGATCTAGAAGGGTTTTGATGAAATTAGTATGTTTAATTCGTAGTTACCCTACCTTTTTAACTTTGACGCGATCAACATTGACTAAACAACTTCAGTCTAAGCGTATAAAAACTGAAATATTTTCCAAAGTTTTATTTGCGTAAATCGCTACTACGTAAATATGAACTTGAGATATTTAGGAATGTATTTCAAAATTGTCACTCTATTTGTCCCGTTTTGTAGATTAGATACGTGTGCATCAAATTAAAACTGCATTTAGCGATTCTTTTCTTTTGAATTCTATTTAATACTCTTCGACCTAAGAATTTTAAATAAATAATTCGTTGAAATAATAGTATAGGGTTATCCACACAGGTTTCGTGGAAGTGTATCACCAGGGGCAATGGGGAACAGTGTGTGATGATGGCTGGGGCATGGATGATACCAAGGTTGCATGCCGTCAACTTGGTTTCACTAAAGCTGTAGGACCTTCGTATTTGGGACGAGGGACCGGAAAAGTATGGCTAACTGACATGGCATGTTCAGGCACAGAGAATTCCCTTGAGAGTTGTTCTAGTAGTGGATGGGGTGATTGGTGCAGAAGTCACACTGAAGATGCTGGTGTTGTGTGTAGTTTACTTTGTAAACCCCTGCGTTATGAGATCGTAACTGTTCTCGCTAAGGAAGTTTGGTTAGGAACAAGCCTGTCATTTGAGATATAAAGATGTATATTTGATTATTACAGGCTCTAGAATGCCCTTCCGTAATAAATAATGACTTTTTTGAAGACTTCCGTTTAAATGTAAACGCAGTAGGCGTTTATTTTATTATAATTTTCTATCTTTTCATATATATCAAACATTGTTTTTGTGCTGGGCCTATGGGC